GATGTCAGCTAGGCAAGTGATAATATCTACTACTAGTATAGATTGAGATAATAATGTAATTAGGAAGATGAGTTAAGATACAAACTTGGTGATTGAAAAACTGCTTTATTCAGTTTTATGACTCACTGATTTAAATCCAAAAAGAATTACTCATGATGCATAAAAATCAATAAATTAAAAACTTAAAAATTCTATATAATTTAAGAAATAAACAAAACCATTGCTCAGAGACATTATTTTATAGACAGGGATTGCTGGCTTAATTGTTCAATGAGACATGTTGAAATATGACCTTATAAATAGGTTATAACAGTGCATGTGTCATATGAAGAAGCTTTTTGGAATCCCAGATGATTTATTCTGGGTGTGTAAACTCTATATTGGCAGGTGCTTATAACCCATGAGAATCAAGTGTAGGGGAGAAAAAACTTCATATACCCTCTTGGATTCAGTGATCAGGGGCTTGCAAATTAAACTGGCAAATGATAGATTAGCAGATGAAAAAACAAAATTTAATCTAATGTGCATATGGAAATTCACAGCAATATGTGACTCAAGGAAGCATTTAAACCTATAAACAATCTTAATAGGGGAAGGGGAGGGAAAGAAGGACACTTACAGAGAAACAAATGACTTTTTGGAAAGATAAATGGGTACTTAAGAGAACAGATGTGGGATGTGACAGTTTTGTGACAATGATTATTTGGGTATGTGGTAATCATAAGAATCTCTTCCCTGTTCTGGGGATATATGACAATTGAGTGCTTTTTAGCAAGCTCTTTTTTAATGCAGATAAGGGGTTCCAGGAACTCAGATTCCTTTTGCTTAAAATAATTTTCTGGACCCCTTCATAAGAATTCCACTGTTATGGCTAGCTGCTGTCACCTGCTAAATATCCTACTGAACATAATTTTAAATGACCTCATGCTGGTGAAGGGGTGAGAAATCTTTTCCTTCTAACCCTCCAAAGTTTATGACCTGGGCCCCATGCCAAAAGGCAGAGTAACAAGAGAAAAGCATACAGCTTTAATATATGTAATTTATATGACACAGGAACTTTCATAAGGAAATGAAGACCCAAAGAAACAGTTAAACTTTAGTGTTGTTTTTTTTTTAAAGAGGGGGGGGGAGAGAGAGAGAAAGAGAATTTTAATATTTATTTTTTTAGTTTTCAGCAAACACAACATCTTTGTTTGTATGTGGTGCTGAGGATCGAACCTGGGCCGCATGCATGCCAGGCGATCCCGCTACCGCTTGAGCCACATCCCCAGCCCAACTTTAGTGTTTTTAATGGTAGGTTTGATGAAGAGTAGAGAGTCCTTGAAGAAAACTGATAGGGTAGAGTATGAGGTAAATGTAGTAAAGTTTGAGAAACTTGGCAAGACTTGACTTGGAGTCCTCTTTGAGACCTTTCATCTTCAGAAATAAGGATGAAGGGCCCCTTTCAAGTGAGGGTCTCATGACCTGCCTGAAGGAAAGGTCAGAGGGTTCTGTGACCTGTTTCTGGAAAAATACCCCAGGAGTCACATTTTGGGGAAGCATGTTCTGAACTCCATCACTGTTTAGATGATCAATTTCCCTTAGGAAATTGATTTGCGTTCTTTGCCCTGCCATTTGATGGGAGCAGATTTCTTTCCAGATGCAGTCTGTCTTTGTCTTTTGGTCTTAATGCTGCACCTTCCTCAAGCTTGAATTGAAACACCACTAATCCAGACTGTCTTCCAGTTACTGGGAACACATCAGATTCCTTAATTGATCTTATTGAAGTCCATTCTCCCCCAAGGTTTGAGATAAAGGTGGCAGTGATAGTACCCTCCTTCATCCCAGCCCCTCTTCTTGGAAGAGAGAGAGGGTTTGGAGAATAGTACTTTCTCTTAAGAAATCTTTTACAGATTCTCTTTTCAACCYCTTTCTCAGTTAAAAAAGCAAAATAAAACAGAATTCTTGGAGTACTTGAAGGAATTTCAGAATTATATAACAGGTTTATGTTCATTTCCTTTGTGTACTCTAAAGTTAATGATCTCTCTCTCATACACTTTGGAATCTGGTCTTTGTCATCTATTTTATTGTACCTCCGCCAAAATTTTGTTTTTTAAAAAAGGGAGGGCTGGGGTTGTGTCTCAGTTGGTAGAGTGTTTGCTTTGCACATGTGAGGCACTGGGTTTGATTCTCAGCACCACATAAAAAAAAATAAATAAAATGAAGATATTATGTCCACCTACAACTAAAAAACATAATTCTTAAAGAAGGGAATCTTTTAATTTTTTAAAATTATATATTAGAAAGGGTCATTTGGTCATTAAGTACAAAAGAACCAAGATGGATCACTGTTTGGCAGAGTACATTTTGTGTAATGGATAATATTCAGTTAGAGGAAATTAAAGCAAATTGTCCAACATTTGTTAGAATTATTAGAACCATAAAAGTAACGCAGATTGTCTGTTGGTTTTTATTTTATCATTTTAGCAATATATTTAGGTTAAATTAGACAAGGTGGTTGTAGCATCTGATCTGAAGGCTTAGAATTATCCTGCCTTGGAGATTTGTGCATGGTTCTCTTTCCAGAGATAGTTAATTGCTATTCTTAGGACTTATTTTTGACATCTTATTTCAGGTTTAACTTTTTCCGTAGCTCTGTTTTGGTTGCTTTTGTTGTGGGGTTTCATTTTATTTTGTTTTTGTATCTACATTACTTTTTTACATGGGATGAATTCAGTTTTCTAGTGTGATTAAATAATCATGAATTCTCTTATTATTCTTACAGTAATTGCCTTTAACTAAGACATTAATTGTCTTAGTTTGAGATTATCCCCTGCCCCCTCCCCCCCTTTCTCCCTACTTCCTCCCACACTCCTTGATGCTAGTGGTTTATTTGGGATATGATCCTAGGAAGAAGGGAAAGAATAGGGAAAGTGAGGCAGGAAAGGGGGAAAAATACAACAAAGGATTCTGATAATATCACTGTAGGCAACTAGGGGTCAGTTCCTCTGATGAATCAGGTAGATAAGCCCCAGGAGGCTGAGGTATTTACTGGTCCTGCAGATAAACCTTTCCCCTGGAGACACTAGTTCCCTTTGGTGATCAGGCTCTTAAGAAACATCAGAAAAAGCCCTGAGGCAGAACAGAGAGCTACCTGCAGCATGTACTTGAGATAGGATACTAGCAGTAGACACAGAACTGTCTTCCACAACTGTGGCCAAAAACAGAGGCTTGAGGGCCACAGGTGTTCACTGCATTGTTTATTTACCCCCCTTGATTATTTAAACATCATTTCAATATTACATCTTCTTCAGACAAGCATTTCAGCATGTTTTCACATTCCTTTAGTCTCTCCCCATTCTATGCCCTACTAAATAATTTAAACGTTCTGGATATACTTTTTCTTTTTTTCCTTTGGTCCTCAATTTTTAAAAATAACATTGAACTTTTCATTCTTATTGTTCATATTAATCATTTTTACTGGTCACATCTTTGGCACCATCTGTTTAGATTTTTTAAATTATTATTATCATATACTTTTTCCTCCAAGAGGTTTTTTATTTTTGTTTTCCAAGTCTGAGACCTTGTATACTTGGAAATACCCTATTGTATCCTCAAATTGAAATGATAATTGGCTGGTTATAAAATTCTAGGCTTAAAGCTAACAAATAGAACTTTATAATAAAGAACAATTTCTTAAAATCTGATTAATGTTTTCTTATTTATAGTTTTAGTAAATGATACAATTCAAGTAAGTATACATTTATTCATGAATACTAATTTGGGGGGGGTTGTTTTAATACTGAAGCACTTAATAGGAAGAACTTAGCAATAGCCTCCACTCATGCTTAGATACCATTCTGTCTACCTTTTATGATAGAATTAAATATGTCATTTCCTGGTGTTCTAAAAAGAACATGAACAAGTTTTGGGAACACTTTGACAGTTTTTTTCCTTCTTAAATTCTGAGATGGTCTCAATTTCTCCCTGGATTTTGTATAATTAATTCATTAAGTTTAAAACTTGTTCATAAACTATTTCCCATATGAGTCTTCTGCCTTTATAATAATAGCAGACTGATGTTTTTCTTTCATTCTGTTCTCTTTGGCTTTCTACAGTATCCTCTCTGGTGATATACAAGCTATTTTTGTCTTAGGTAGGCTAGGCATGTCCTGGGTTGTGGTAGGAAACTCTAAATACCAGAGGGATCTAGAAGGAGAAGTAACAGTAAGAAAACATGCCTGAATTCCAGGAAATTCTCTTGAGCCTGGGAATGATTTTCTTTTGTCACCTACACACTTGTTTCTGTCACCATGTTTCCTGAACCAGCAGCTAGTTTCTAAAACAGCTTGTTTCAGGAGGTTGTTGCTTAGTTTTAATTTTAGATATTATTGGCCTAAAATGACAATTGATAGTTACATGACAGTAATAGTTACATTATGGAAATTATGCAGTTAAAGAGGATAAAAGCTAAATTAAGTCTTTCCTTCTTTTATCAGATGGATGGGTGGATAGAAAGATACAGATCTTTTTTTTTTTTTTTTTTAAACTTCTGGTACTGGTTCTTAAATTATATTAGGATTACCGCTCTTTTTCCTAAAATAAAATAATACAAAATAAATTGATGACAAATTATATTTGTTTTCTCATATATTTTTCTTAAATCTGTGCTAAAAGAAAGAAATCTTAACAGGAAAAAYTTAGCAATAGTCTATCATTCATGCTAGGTTTAACAGTCTCTTTAACTCTTACAGTAGAATTAAATATGTGGTGTTCTAAAAAGAAGAGTGTATAGTTTGGGGGGGTATCTGGATACTTTAACATTTTTGGCAATTGTTCTTGATGTAAATTAGTTCTTTGAATTTGAAAATAATGTTTATGTTGAAAAATAAATAGTGTTTCAAAGATGAGTTCAACATTGATTTACATAAAAGTTGTTTTGAATAAATTAAAAGTTGCCCCCACCCTACATAGGTTTGTTTTATTAACGTAAATAACATTTTTATTTTGTGACCTTACAGGAGCCCAGGCTTGTGTACTTGTATTTTCTACTACAGACAGAGAGTCTTTTGAAGCAGTTTCTAGCTGGAAAGAAAAAGTAGTAGCTGAAGTTGGAGATATACCAACTGTGCTTGTACAAAACAAGATTGACCTTTTGGATGATTCTTGTATAAAGAAGTAAGATGGCTGCTTTTTGGGGAAAAGGGTATTAATTCTGTAAAGTTAAAACAAATTTTTGCTTAGACTTACAAAAGTAAAATTTTTATATTTAAGTTCTAGAGGTATTAATTATTTTTATAGGCTTTAATTTACTTATCTGTGAGCTATTTGTGATTGGTTTATGTTTAAATGAGCATAGAAGGTGATAATAAATAATAATACTAAACTGTACATTTCAAAAAACTGGAGGAAAGTACATTGAAAGTTTCACCATAGAGAAAGGATAAATGTTTCAGAAGGTAGGTATGTTTAACCTGTACAACACTGTACAGAAAACATTTTTTCTATCTCAGTTTCTGTGGATCAGTAATTTGGGAGTGGCTTAGCTCAGTGGTTTTATGTTCGGTTATAGTCAATATGTTGACTAGTCACAAGCTTGAGAAATAAGCAGTGTTTCAAAGATGAGTTCAACACTGATTTATATAAAAGTTGTTTTGAATAAATAATAATAATAAAAGGTGCTGGAAGATCCATTTCTAAGATGACTGTCTTGCTGCAGGAGGCTTTAATTCCTTGCACTATGGGCTTCTTCTTAGGGCTGCTTGAGTATTCTCACAACAAGGCAGCTGTTTCCCCTGGGCAGGTGATTCAAGAGAGAGCAAGGCACAAGAGAGAGAAACCACAATGCTTCTTAAAAGACCTATTCTCAGAAATCACATACTGTCATTTCTATTGTATTTTGTTGGGCACACAGACCAAACTTGATTAGGGGTAGGAAGAGTTTGAAGACCAGGAGCCATTCTGGAGCATGGCTACTAGAATTCTAATACAGCTAAAAAGGGTCCACTCTTACAGACTCAGCCATTAATAGGCTGACTTTGGCTTTGGGCAGCAAAGTTATTTCATGGCCAAGAATAATATAACAAGTTATTCAAAGTATAATTAAATCCAAATATTCTCAAAAAGAAAAGAGAGAAAATTAATTAAAATTCTACATAAAAGCTGCATTTGATGATCTATCCTAGCCATTCAAGAGGCTGAGGCAGGCCGATCTTAAGTTCCAGACTTCGGCAACTTTGTAAAATCCTGTTTCAAAAATTTTTAAAAAGGACTAGGGATTTAGGTCACTAGTTAAGTGCCCCTGAGTTCAATCACCAGTACCCCCCACTCTAATTATATAAATAAAAGTGATATTTAATTATTTTAATTAGTGACTTTATAGAAAAGTGTCCTATTTACAATATAGGTGGTTGGTGTTTATCCCTCGAGAGGAATGAAGCTAAAAATCCTGCTCAAGCACTGAGAACTTCACTTTAAACACTTTTATTTATTTGGGCATCAATATCAAGCTGATTTTAAAAAGAAACATGAACATTATCTGAAAGATCTGCTCCACCTCCCTATCCTTATTCTACTGTACCCTACCAATCTTAATAAGTGTAATTTTTAAAAGTAACTTTTTAAAACAAGCTTTCAGAAGCTGCTGCTTCTCTCTCTCTCTCTCTCTCTCTCTCTCTCTCTCTCTCTCTCTATTGGTGTGCAGTGAGGAAGCTGAGGCTCTGGCAAAAAGGTTAAAGTTAAGATTCTACAGAACATCAGTGAAAGAAGACCTAAACGTGAGTGAAGGTAAATTGCATCTTTAAAAATATATATTGCAATAGGAAATTTGTTTTGTTCTTCTTAATGTCTTTCCTGTTGTGTTGTTAGAAAAAAAAATTGAGAATGTTTTCTTTTTGTCACCTAACATTAAGTAAAATTTAAAGACATTCTGCTTCTTTGATTTAAAAAGTCCTTGGTTATTTAATTAATGTCCTTGAAACTTATTCCCTATAGCAATTGATAGTGGTACTTTAAGTTTTATCATTATCTTTGAAAATTTAAGTTATAAATATGTGTGTATGTATGTTTTTCATGTATACCTTTTAAAAATTACTGAACTGTTTTAGTACTCCTTGGTAATAGATATTTCATTAGGTAATTACAATGACCTTAATTTGTTTAATAATATTTCCCAGTTTAAGAAAGTGAGATTAGAGAAAGAAAATTATGACTTTTCTTATTCCAGAATTGTCACTTATTAGATTGCAACTAGGTTGTGGCTTCAGTGTTTATTCTGGGTAGTTTCTTCACCTGAAAAACTAGACATTTCTTCAAGTCTGAATCAGTTGGATGATTTTAAATGAATAGCCAATGTCTACAAATAGTATTTCATTTCTTTACTATTATTCTAGTATCATCATTGTTCTCAGATATCCCTCAATTAATTTTTGAAAGTTGAATTTTTAACTAAATGTCATTTTAATTTTATCTTCATTTAGTAAGTATAAAATTATAAGTAATATGAAATAATACATTTATTGGTATAAATCATATTGACTGTGTGTGTGTTTTCTAGTTTTTAAATACTTGGCTGAAAAATATCTTCAAAAACTCAAACAACAAATAACTGAGGATCCAGAACTAACACATTCAAGTAGTAACAAAATTGGTAAGTGYTCAGGAAATTTTTCCCCATGCTTGTCTGGTATTTATTCTGAATCCATTATTATATTTACTTTTTTTTACATATAATGTGCACATTTCTTTTAAAAATGTGATTTAAAATTGTAAGATTAAAAATTATTAAATTTAAGAGTATCAGATCTCTTGTTAAATTGAGATGTAAATACTTTTTTATAAAGGTTTATCGTTTATATAAAGGAGCTTTATATTACTTGTTCTTTTCATTCTATACTTGTCTTTTCTCTTCCTGACTATCTTGCTTATTACCTGTTGATTATTTTTTCTTTTTTTCTTTCTTTTTTTTTTTGTTACGGGGAATGAACCCAGGGACACTCAGCCACTGAGCCACATTCCCATCCCTTTTTTAGATTTTATTTTGAGACAAGGTCTTGCTGAGTTGCTTAGGGCCTTGCTAAGTTGCTGAGGCTGGCTTTGAACTTGCGATCCTCCTACCTCAGCCTCCAGAGTCTCTGAAGTTACAGATGTGTGTCACTGTGCAAGGCTATTGTTTTTTCTTTTACATGTTAAATGCTAGCAGAACTTTAGCATTGCCTAAAGAACAAGTGTGTTGTCTTCTCTTTTACAGTAACTGTCGGTGTATGTTGGTTTCCAGGGAGATGAGAGCCAAATGTGCTGGTTCTGAAGTTCTGTGTAGTCTCTTAGGGACTTTGTTATCTACATTCTGTCCTTTTTTCTTGGCTCTAGCTTTTTTTAATTCCATTTTTGTTGCATATATGACTGCCATTGGACATCTCAAATGCCTTGTGAACAAGATAGGACTCTTGCATGAGTCTATAGTTGGTCTGGTCTGCTTGGCCCCCTTCATGTCTCCTTCTAATTCACTGATAGATTCCCTTCACGCCAACATTTAAAGACAGTTTGTCCATTCTCATTCCAGCTTCATGAATCGCTATGCACCCCGTTTGCTGGGTTCTGCCGGAGGTCTTTTTCTTTCCTGAGAAGAAAAGCCAGTGCTGCTGCTTCACTTTTGCACATTTTGTTACTTATATTGAGAGTGACCTCTCTTTCCCATCTTTTTTCAAAGAACAATTCATTCTTCAGGGATTACCTAGAAAGCTCTCTCAGCTTTTTATCTGGCTGAAGCCACAGCCTATTAAAGTCCAGGGCATTGTCAGATGTCCAGTTCTACTTTCATGTAGTTTTTCGTTCTTTTGAAATTCTGTAGTATGCTATCGTATGAATGAATCAAATTTAATTAGTTCTTCCTTTGAACCATCTATGAGATCTTGTCTCTCCTTTCTGACACTTAACATATAATGTCTCTAGCAATACTTATCTGTATTCTGTCTTATCTCACTTATTAAGTTGCAAACTTCYTGTGGGCCAAAATTGGTCATGTTTGTATCCCTGATATTGTTTATTGTCTCTGGCCCAGAGTTTTGTGTATCATACATGCTAAGTAGTTCATAAATTGTGTGTGATTTACATTTTGTGACTAGCATAGTTCAAAATGTGAATTAAAATAGAAAAGGTTTCTGTTAGTTCATCTCTTCTTATCTTCTGTTGCTGTAGACCACTTTTCTGTTGTTTTAGCCAACATAGGAAAAATCTATATTTCACCAGCTTTTACATGGCAATGTTATTATTAATATAAATTCTCACAAATACTGTTGTTAAGTACAGATCAGGTATTCTTGAGGAAGTTATGTGGTATATAATGAATAAGTGAAGTCATTAAAATGATTATATTTGCATATTCTAAATTTTGAAAATAGAAAAAGATGTGTGTAGAAAAAGGCATGTAGTGTATGCCACAATTTGGGTAGAACAGGATAAAAGATAYATGTGTGTGTGTGTGTGTGTGTGTTTTTCTAACTACATCTGCATAAAATATCCCTGGAAGGATACAAAGGAAAACTGCTAACATGTTTGCCTTAGTGAAAGAAAACTGGCAAGGTAGGGTGGTGAAAAGGAACACTTCACTGTGACCTCCTTTGTACCCTGTGTATTCGTTTTTTAAATTGTAGGTGGGCTGCTAAAATTTTTCTGTGTTGCCCAGGCTGGCCTTAAACTATCAGTCCTCCTGCCTCAGTATCGAGTKCTGGGACTAACAGTGCACACTGTCCATGCACAACTTTGTATTAAAACATGCATACACACACACACACACAAAAAAAAAAAAAATTCCAGTACTAAAATACCCATTGACGTCTCAATGGATAAAGATAAACAAAATATGTTATCTACATACAATGAAATATTATCCTTAAAAAGCAAGGAAATTCTGTAGTATGCTATCATATGAATGAATCAAAGATATTACGCTAAATGAAATAAGGCAGACGCTAAAAAACAGAGTATGATTCCATTTATATGAAGTAGTCAAAGTCACAGAGACAAAAAGTAGATTGGTAGTTGCCAGGGGCTGATGGGAGGGAGAATGTCGAGTTATTGTTAATAGGTATAGAGTTTCAGTTTTAAAGACACAAAGATCATGGAGATGGATGGTGGTGATGGTTGTATAATATTATGAATGTTCTTAATAGCACTAAACTGCACACTTAAAAAAGGTTAAGATAGTATATTTTGTTATTTATACTTCATTATAATAAAAACTGAAAATAATTATAAATACTTAAAAATATTCTGATTTACTAATAAGCTGAATGCAACAGGTAACTAGGGTGTATCAATTTCTGTGTTTTCCTTCAATTTATACAGGTGTCTTTAATACATCTGGTGGAAGTCACTCGGGTCAGAATTCAAGTACTCTTAATGGTGGAGATGTCATCAATCTTAGACCTAACAAACAAAGGACCAAGAAAAACAGAAATCCTTTTAGCAGCTGTAGCATACCTTAAAATATTTTAGGGATGAAAAAGTTGAATTATATTGTACACTTCACTAAGAAACACATCCAGCTGTCACAGTATGCTACAAGTGTTTTAGCAGTCTTAGTACCTAATGGCTTTCTGAAAGCTGACAGATTTAAACATTGCTCTGCAGTGCTTTTCAGAATGTAGAGTGAGACCTCTGGTGGAAAAATTACTGCCCTGTGGAATTCATTTTAATTTTTTTTTTTTTTTTTTTTTACATTAGACGAGGCTTCTCCTGTTTTTGAAGGAATGCTATTACGAAATGTCAAAAACAGGTTTTGCTGAATTTTAAATGCTGGAAAACATATATGCAATGCCTAAATATATTGGTACAGATTTTAATATGGATAAAGGAAAAGAAAACAAGCATTCTTTTTCTGAAATTGGCCATCTAGCTTTTCTAGATAATAGTGTTGAACCCAAATACTTGGGAAAAATAATGCTGAAAGGCAAACCCTAAAATCTTATCAGACTGCACTAGTATGTATTTTGGCAATGTTACTTGTGCAATATCTAAAAATTAGAATGTGGAAGTGTGCATGCAGATATCTGGTACTGAAGCAAACTGAAGGTATGTGCAGTATTTAAGGGAATGTAGATTTTAATCAATTCATTTGTAAACCATTTACACAATGTGTACGTTTTTATTTTCAAATGAAAAGTTCCTGACATATATTTTGCAAAATGAGCTTAGATTTAAAATGTGCTTTGTGCCAAAAATATCACCTAATTTTTACAGTGCTTTACTATCAAAATTTTTATTGTTTATAGTGTCTTTTAAAAGCAGTTCTCTGATAGGCAGATAAAAGGGGAATATAAATATTTTTATTGCTAGAGCATCTTCCTGGTGTGAGACTTATTGCAAAATCTTTTCTGTGTGGTCACTGTAAACATGGTGCATTCATGCTGTCATAGGTTAGCCAAGTCCCAAGAAGGTACACTGTTCATGCATGGTCATTCAGGAGGTTCTATGAAGTTTGTGCATCTAGCACCTTTTGCTGCTGACTGAGAACCCAACTTTGAACTTTTAAGAGTATGCTAACTATTTTTACAATATGATCTTTAGTCCTAATCTAAGTTAGGGATTTTATAATAACCTGCAACTCTGAAGCATCCTTTTGTTTACATACTTTCATATATTATTTTACCATTATTGCTTAAAAATTTCTATAGCCTTTGGTTTGTTTAGCACTTTCTCAAGAGCTGTCAGCACCACATACAGAATAATAAGAAACAATCTAATATGAAAGGATGTATCAGAGCATAAATTTTGTGACTTGGGACAGTAGCCTTTCAAACAAAGATAATCGCATGAACTCTGTAATCGATTATAATTCTGATTATCATTCATCCGTGGTTGTTTTTTAATATATAATTAACCCATTTCAATATATCTCCTTCTTACAGGATTTTAAAATATGCAAAAATTTCTCTTAATGTGTCATGAAATCATTTTCATTATTTATACTAAATACATGTGTTTTATATATTTTTCTTTTTTTAAGTCTTCCATCTGCACCACCCTCATCCTTTTGTCCAGATTAATACTGAGAACATGTAGAATTTCCTGCGGTATGTCTTGGTTAAGTGATCAAGTATGAATGTTTGCTTTTCATAATATTGAAATAATCCGGCATTATCTATTTCAAAGTAATATAAAAAGTTTATTTTTATGTCATCAGTTGTTACCACTCCCATTGCTGGCAGTGGGACAAGTGTTGGGGGAAAAAACTCAGCTTCTTACAATGAATGATAACCTGCTAAGGAATGCATCTTTTTTACTCTTTAATTTTTGCACAAAAAATATTTGTGTCAAATAATCTCATGATCTTTATCAGAAGAAAAGTCTCTTGTTATATAATGTGTTGTAGTTCAATTTCATATTAATTGTGTGGATAAATGTGTGTTACTTCTCTGTATAAAAAATGTAATCTCCAATGATGATTGTAGTTATGTTTGGTTTATCCTTGTTTTTCCTTATGAAAACTGAAGAGACCTAAATTTTTACTTGGCATTATTATATTTTACACCTAATCATAATCATTTAAAATAAAAGGTTTGAAAACCAGTGATATGTTAAATAAATTCTCAATTTAATCTTCTAAAACTTTAAAGATTGATATTTTTCCTTTGTGATCCTTTACTCTTTTAAGTAATTTTATTAACTTATCATGAAACTCTGGATACTAAAGAGACACGACTAAGATTCTGGGTTAGCATGCATTTGTGCCCCAGTCTACTTTTATGGGTAATTTTTAGCATACAGACATATAGCTGTGGAACAACTGCCATATTTCAGTTCCCCTGGTTTCCTTTTTCAGTCTCTGCCTGTGAATTAAATAGTATGTACAAAATAGTCCATATAAGGCAATATATTTTAAAAGGTTCTTTTTACCTGTTCAAAATTGGAAGCACATGTGGTTTTTCAGAATAAAGCTTAACAGTATTAAAAAGGACAAGCAACTTTCTTCATTATGGAGTGAAGCTATGTGGTTGTTCCAAAGTTGGCAATGCAGTGAGAAAGAAATCTCAGTAATATGTATTCCATTGCACCTGGGGCTTTAGGGACTGGGACCTTTTTTGAAAATCTTCTAGTGAGGAGTTGTCCTTAGAACCCAATGTTCTAACTTCAAACATTGTACTGTTTTAATGTAAGATATTGTTAGCGTCTTTCTCAAACTTTTGAAATAGTTATTACTTTCTGAAATGTATCATTAGTGTATTTCTCTGAAAACAAAATGAACTGATGTGGTGAAAGCTTGTCTTTCATTGCACAGTCATTTGATAAACAGGTAGATTTCCTCAGTAATTATGAATATCATGTGTACTTATTGTCACTCTTTAGGCTTTCATATATAAAACTTGTATATCTACATAAAATTGAATTTGTAAACAACAAAAAAATATTTAAAACCCCAGTAGTCTTTAAGATACCCAGTCATCAAACACATGAGTAACTGGGTAATCTGACTATGATACTCTTTTACCAGCTAGTGCCCCTTTTTGGCTTTCTTTAAGTATCTCTAACAGAATGTTGGTAAATGGTATTTTAAAAATAAAAACTGGATTAAAAGGAAAACTGAACCACTTCTATATTTTTTGTGAGTAATAAATAATACTTTTATAAATTTAAATGGAAAACCACTTGTATGAATTTGTACTGAGTAGCAGTTATGCCCTCAAGATTAATTTAAAATGTGCAATTTGATTAAAATTTCAGTGGAGATGAATTCCAATAATTAAAAAAAACATGCATTTCAAAGCTAGAATTTCATGTGATATGTGTGATGTTATCACCAATGTGAAACTCAGTAGTAAAAGGTATAATGTAACTTCTTTAAAAATAAAAATAACCTAAAAATAGTTCATACTCCTGATAATGGATCAGTATGGAATATATTCATTTTGTTAGTGGTTATTTAATGCAACTTAGTAGCACCATGGCATACAGATGTTTCTTCTACCATTGTAGCAATATCATGCTTTTATTTTGTCTTGTTCTGAGGCTTTTAGTCCTCCAAATAACACATTTACTTTGTCTTGTGGTATAAAATAACCATATAGTTCTAATTGATTTCACAAGTTTTTTTCCACATGTGAGCATGTGGTATCTCTTACACATAAAAGCTTGAAGGAGCCTTGTAACCCAGATTTTTCAGTTGCCAAGGGCAAGATTCTTGTTAAAGGAAATGCTCCTGGGCCCTCTGCTGGTAAGAGATGGAGTTGGGCGCTCAGGCTACGTCTTGCAGGGATACTTATTAACCCAGTAGTACTGTGCCTGTTTTCTGTTTTATCCATTTTCCTTTGGCTTCTTTGGTGTGAGTACACACACACAAATACAGAGGTGGCTGAGCCTACATTTACTCACACCTTTGTTGCCTTTTCTTTCCCAAGATTCTTAGCTATTTTACCTTATTTTGTGTCTTTGGGTAATTGTAAAATTCTGCCTTCAGAGACAGCATTTTCACATATATGAAATGTGTCCACATTTATCAGTCAGTCATTTAAAGGGTATAAATACATTAAATACATTTTAATGTATTTAAATACATTTATAAATACATATAAATACATTTTAAGCACTCTGGTCAATGCTAGACTGAGCTGCATCAACAGGGTACCATGACTGCACTCAAGTGTTTGTCCTTGTGCATCATACTTGACTAATGTTTCATTAAATGAAAAGGAAGAGCCCATTCACAGGATTCCATGTGTCCTAGAGAATCCAATAGTGGAAGGGCTGAGGCTGTAGCTCAGTGGTAAAGTGCTTGCCTCGTATGTGTGAGGCACTGGGTTCAATCCTCAGCACCACATAAAAATAAAGATACTGTGTGTTCATCTACAACTAATTTTTTTTTTTTTAAGAGAGAATCCACCAGTGGAAAGGCAAAGGCCATTGGAAACCTCAAGTTCAAATTCATTGCTGTTAAAGGTCCCCTTCCCACTTAAAAGCACTAGGAACTTTTTCAATATCAGAGTCCCTAAATTAAAACACCACAAAGCTCAGTTCTATATTTGCCATACTTAACTAGGTGGATTTTCACTTTGTCCTCAGTTGATGAATTTGAGTTAACGTCTCCTTTGCAGGTCCGTTTGCTAGCTACCATACTTCAGAAAGCCTATCGTTAAAAATGAAGGCAGAAAGCAGGCTTTATGGAGAAGCCTTGGGACAGACAGGGATGGAAATAAGACAAAGAGCTGTCCTCAAATTGCACGTTACATTCTTAAATTGTGTTGGATGGTGATAAGTCAAAACATACTCTAAATGTCCTTCAAGTCTATTATCTGTCATTATCTATCATGTGGCTCATGTAGCAAAGAATACAAGTCAAGGAAGCATGACAACAATAATTTGTGAAGGAAAAAGTCCTGGACTGATATGGAGTGAATGGAATGGGAGGGTAGAGGGCAGGGGGTACCACCCAGAGGGGAAAGGGCTTTCCAAAACTGACAACACTAGAGAATCTGAGGAAAACTTGATCATCCCGTTCTTAATTTTCAAAAAGCTGCTAAAAAACAAGGTGGCACAATTTTTTTTTTTCATCTGTGCAACCTGATGACAGCAACTCAGAATCCATTTACAAACCAAGAACTGTTGCCACAGATAGAATTAACATTTCCCCAAAATAGAAAGACTTAAATGAGCAGAGTTGGGGCTGGCAAAGATCAACTATGAATGTTCTGAGTATATCTAACTTGGCATCTTTTTTTTTTTTTTAACCCCTACCCCCAACTAACTTGGCATCTTTTGTACAGAAAATTCTGCTCAATGTTGTTTGCACTGAGGAATATAGATATATAAAATCAATCTGAATATTTTTTGTGATTACCTATATTCTAATATAAATTGAAGTATTTGTTTCACAGTATTTGGGGAAGTTGTGCTCAAAAGCACTAGTTAATTTTAACAAAGTTGTGCTATACTTCATTTATAAAAGGATCAATACATTAATCAGCCTTGTTAGTAAGCAAGAAGCAAATTAAATTCAGGTGTTTTAAGTCTACAACTAGAAAAATTTAAGGCTCAATGCTAGAATTTCAGTGAAATAACTACACTTTAATTACTGAAGACAGACATATTTCTGAATTCTTTGTATAAAAGTTCTCAATTTATAAATATGTGTTAGGCCATGAAAATCTATATACCCTTTGACCCAATAAATCTACCTGCTGAGAATTTGTACAAAAATCAGAAACAAAGGATAAAGCTTAGTTAAGTTGCAGTAATAGCAACAAGTTGGACCACTACACAAAATAGAGCTTTTGAAACTGCAATTAAGCAGCCTTTATAGTGGCTTAAAGGAAGAAAAAAAAAAGGCAAGGTTCAACACTGAAATTTTAGACAACTAATGCATTTGAGAGATCAAGTGGATATATAATTGTTCAACTGTTGCAAAATTAAAGCTGCTTTTTCTCACGTTGCCATGTATATACAAAATACATTCATACAGTGAGATGCACAAATCTTAAAAACAAAATAATCATGTAAATGCAGGTAAAGGTCCTTATGTTGTGATTCCTTTTATCCCTCTAAGCACAGTATTTAGTACTTGAGTGTACTGCGTGTGTGTATGTGGGGTGTGTGTGTACATGCATGCACATGTGTGTACTGTTAGGGTAACAAATTTCTAGCTAACTAAATGCTCATGTGCCTATGTGTTTACATGCCAGACAAAGTCCAAGAATGCTTTAACCCCGGCTGAATACATTTTTTTCTACATACTATGTATTCATTCATCCATAAAATAGTAAAATATATAGTGCTAGATCCTAGTACAAGAATTCAATCTAAAAACTTCTAGATAATTAAAATACTTTAAATTTTAATTATTATTTGCAAAAATGTTAACACTGGAGTATTTTCCTCATCTGAAACAACTGTATCAAGTAAGTGGTTATACCTGACAAAGAACTAAAATAGCATCTTATTATTTTTATATCATCATTTGTAGGTACCCTTAGGTTTCAAGACTACTTAAATTTGCTTTCAGCATTTTGTTGCAGAGTTTTAGAACCAGCTCCTTTAGAATGCTCCAACAGCTTGATGGCCTTGTCAGAATTTTCAATATTTCTAAGCAAAGTCTCTAATCTTCTCTTAATTTTCTTCTGATCTTCAAGAGCACAGCCAATTACTATAGATTGAAATTTTTGATCAACAGGCCCAGGTGGCACCTCAGACAAACATGCACTGTAGAGTGACATTAAATGATTCTTGGCATTTCCCAAATCATCCAGAAACTTATTGACCACCTCATCTATAATCCTTGTGGCATGCTTTAGGGATTCTTGCTGTTGGGGATTTCTAATTGTTTCTACTGAAACTTCAACGGTGAGGGTTCGTCCCATCAAACGGTTTGCAGTCAGATTTAATTCTTCTCTTTCTCCTAAACATAAAAAGTTTTGAAATATCAATCAATATGGGACACAAGCTTATTCATGTCAAGAACACTAAGGCATTCATTTATGGCTAGATTTATTTTCTATAAGAACTTGTGCTGTGAAAATTTTAAGGTGAAGACTAAAACTACAGCATGTAAGATTAACAGACGAAATACTAGAGGTCGCAGAATACCTTCCTCTGAAAATTTGTGACAGTGTACCAAATGATTTTTCAGGTTCACATGTCTGCACAAGTGTGTGCAGGTTTGTGTCTGAGATGAAGAACAATTACATCATTGTGAGCAAGGAGCATAACTAGGGTTTGTGCTGGGTAGAGCTGTGGTGATGAGACTGTCCCATATGAGAGTGTGCAGGTGTGGCCAAGGAGTCAGAGCTATGACAGTAGAGAATAAGCTGGCCTCAAAACCAAGCACTGACTTCATCCCCTCCAGGCAGTCTGAGGAAGATCAGAGGTCCCGAATCCTGACTGGCACAAGGAGGCAATGATGGTAAACAGAGCTCTGTCAACAGTGCACTATATGAAAAAGCCCATGATCTCCTCTTTGTCCTATAACCTCATTCCTAACTCATGACCTTGGGCCACAATAATGAAGAGAAAAACGAGATCATGACCCACTGTGGATGTTTACCAGTTTGGATATGAAGTTAAGCTTACTGTTTTATGACCCACTGGCTTTCCCCGTGGAGCACCAAAGGAGCCCAGTTGGGAATCCAATGCCAAGGGAACAGGGCCCTATTCCTCCATAGGCAGTGGCGTTCTTCAAATGAAGAGGACAGCACATCAGTGTCTTCTTTTGGTCCTGTAATTTACCTTTCCTCTGAATTTTCTCCATTTCCTCTCACCTCAATTACAAAAACTTACACCTCAATTCATCTCTTTTTTGCTCTCTGCCTCCACTTTCCCCTTTATTCTCTGCTTTATCCTCTGCTTTTCCGAGTCCAGGAACTTGGAAAAATTGAAGTTAAGAGTGTGAACCTGACAGGAGACACATGGCCTTACGGCTTGGGCCCCACTCTTCCGGAGCTTTCAGGCCTTTTCCAGATCTGGGGTAGGCAGCACATAGGAACAATGATCTCTACATAAGTGGCTGCTGTAATTGACAGCCACAGCTGCTCCATGTAGCTCACGTGAAATGCTGAAGCCTAGTGTACGCATACCAGAAGTCAGACAAAAACTGGCCCATGCTTATCACAAAGCCCCTAAAGCAGTGTAAGAGAGGAGCCCCCTTCTGTGGAAATGGCTCTCACCGTCACTGATCTGCCTCATGTCCTGGCTATTTTGGATACTGTGGATCATTTCCAAGAGGATTTCTTTCTCTTGCTCAACAGCAGTTGCTGCTTCTCTTAAAGCTTCAACCCTATGTAAATTGGGAAAACAAAACAGTCATTAATTATATGGACGGTGTTCTTTTTATTAATTTTCTTCATTTTCTCATTCAATCCAAGTCAGTCTTAAAGATCATTAGGAATGCATTTTAAAATTTCTTTAGACCTTTTTAAACATCATTTTTCTACTTTTTTTAATTCACTTAACTTCACTCCCACTTTCATCTCTGCCCATAGAACAATTATTCTATTTGTTGTTTCCTGTTATTACAAAATCTGTATTATTTATATATTTGCATATTTTAAGTTTATACCTTATCCCATTTTTAAAATTTCCATTTTGTTCAGAATCATCCAGGATTTCGGGTGTACGTCTAAGCAGTAGCTTCTAATTACTGCGTATGTATAAACATCTGATGTTGTGTGTCCATTCCCAGAGATGGGCACTCAGATTGTCTACCATCTTCTCATTAAGGCAATAACACTTAAAGTTGACAACATGTCCCCTATGGGCCTGAGAATTTGCATATTAATTTCTGGTTGGCAACAGACACTGCAATACCTGCTTTCATCTTGTCATATGTGAACCTAGTCTGGGATTGCCTTCACTTGAGATCCTGGGTTTTTTTTTTTTCTTTTTCTGAGATGCTAAGCTGCTCAGGTTGGTCTCAAACTCAAAAGCCTCTTGCCTCAGCCTCCCCAACAGCTGGGATTTTACACATAAGTCACAATGCCCAGTTATGAGGTCCTTATGATGATGGGATGGGTTAGTCTCTCGTTTGTGGTTTATGCTTTAAAGTTTTGTTTAAGGCCTTTCCCACCCCTAGGTCATAAGATATTTTGCTCCATTAAGTTCATAGTTTTATCTTTCTCATATTTATTTAATCCACTAGAACCCATTCTTATATGTGGTTACATAAATATTTTATTTTTATCCAAATAATGAGACATTTCCCCAAAAATTATTTACCACACAATTCATCTTTCCCTACAATTTGTGTTATTTCTGAAATCTGTATTCCATACATTAGTATATTTAACTGTTTTTATAYCAACACCCATTTAATTTTTTTAATTATACATGGATGCAATATCTTTATGTATTTATTTTTATGTGGTACTGAAAATTGAACCCAGTGCCTCACATGTGTGAGGCAAGCACTCTGCTACTGAGCCATAACCTCAGTCTTGCATTTTGCCTTAATATTTGGTAGAGTAGCCTCCCCCAACTGCCCAATTTTCTTTAAAGATAACTTAGCTATTTAATGGGAACTTTTTCCATTGTACAAACTGTTCAGTAAGTTTATTGGGTTCTAAAAAAAATTGGGAGAAATTTGACATCTTTATAATAAGAGTCATTTCACTCAGGGGTATGATACATCTCTTCATTTAGATCTTCTATATTCTTTATTAGAGTTTTGAAAAATTCTCCATAGTAGCCTTGTGGACTAGATACATTGTGTTCTAGATACATTGTAGATATAGTTGATGTTGTGGATAACTCCAATTACATTTCTAATCAATGACTGTTAGTTCAAAAAATGCTGTTTTTTAGGTTCAAGATTGTAACTGGAATCCTTGATTTATACTTATTAATTTTAATGGTGTCTCTGTTGATTCTCTTGGTTCTTCTAGGAGGATGATCATATCATTGTCGGAAAAAAAAAAAAAAAAAAAAAGACCGCTTGTGTCTTCTTTCCAATCCAAATAGCTCTTGTTTTTTCCTTTGTAGTACTAAGGTCCTCTGGTACTATATGAAATGGTGGTGGTGTTGGGAGC